TATATATATATATTAGCAGCATTATTTCAGCATTATTTTACTATGACTCAATGGTGCCCTCGAGTGGCCTGAATCAGAGAGCTGCTTTTCTACACAGACAGAAATATACTAAATTACTTTTACTGTCATTTAGTAAATGAAATTTCATTGCAGTTTGCTCAACACAGGATGAAAATATTAAAAACTGTTTTAAGCATAATAAAACATACAGAAATCTATTGCAGCAAAAATGCTATTCAATTCAAAATTTATTTGTATAGCACATTTAAAAACAACAGAGTTGACCAAAGTGCTTCACAATTGGTTAAAAACAAGAGAAAACAATAGAAATATAGATAAATTAGAAACTAATAGAGATAAATAAGAAGACAGTGAATTAACAATAAAAACATAAAAGAGGCCTGATAGTACTCATATGAACTTGAATTAAAAGCCAAAGTAAAAAAGTGAGTTTTAACACGCGATTTAAAAGACTGAATAGACTCGAAGTACGAATCTCCTCTGGCAGATTATTCCAGAGTCTGGGTGCTGCTACTGCGAAGGCCTGATCTTCTCTATGCTTCAATCGAGACCTTAGTTGTGCGCATCTGGCTAGAAGATCTCAGTGCTCTTTTGGGGTCATACAGGTTGAGGAGTTTGTTTAAATAACAGGCGCCATATTATTTAAAACTTTAAAAGTAAGTAAAAGAATCTTAAAATCAATACGACATTTTAGAGGGAGCCAGTGTAAATTTGCAAAAACTGGAGTGATGCGTTCATACATTCTAACACCTGTTAAAAGATGTGCAGTGGCATTTTGGACTAACTGCAAGTGATGGAGAGATGAGTGTTGAAGACCCAAATAGAGAGAATTGCAGTAGTCCAGTCTAGAGGTGATGAAGGCATGAATAAGTGTTTCTAGATCTCTTAGAGGAAGATAAGTGCTATGAAGTGCAATGGTTAAACGAGACCTGTGGACTTAGCATACAGAAACCTGGTATCCAGTACAAGTGGCATATTTTATTTAAAGTCGGAAAGCCTATCCAGCCAGAATATATGAAAGCTGGAAAGTGTCTTGACTGAAAGTGCTCTGTGGTCCATGACTTTCTGCTTCAAAGAACAGAAAGAAAAACATTACATTCTGCAGTCGACCCAAATCCTGAAACACACTGTTTATAATTGGACTTCCAAAGAGGGAGCTTGTTCATTATAAGTCTCAGATCTGCATTGCATTCCTTTGAACCCATGGTCTCCATTATCCGCCCAACAACCTCCCTGCTTTTGTCTTTGACTATATCAAAATAATTGCATTCTTTAATCTGTGGAAAATTCACCTCAGCAGCAATTCTGGGTTTGTCTTATAGAACAGTCGGTCAAGGTGACACGACTCTTCTTGTGGGTCTTTTGGTTGCTCAGAAGCACACAGATAATGATGCTCAAAGACAACTCTGGGTAAACTACTTGCTCTGTTGAAACACTGAAAGTTTTTCTGTACAATTACTCCACCATCTCATTCTAAAGAAGTTGTTATGACCCAGGAACATCTGGGTCATATATGTGTGTGTGACTCCTCTCTCTCCTCTCCTCTTTTTCTGTTGAACTCAGTTTTCTCCTGTTTTTCAAAGTAGAAACATTAGAAAAGCAAATTGTTTTTTGGTTGACTTTTGTTTGGTAGGGAAGCTTAGGGACCTTTAGAGATAAATAATCGATTAAATAGCATTTCAAAAGAGAGAGATTGCTACAGTTTTGGCTCTTTCTTGGGTGGTGTTGGAGAGGGGGGCCACGTTTCTTGGAATGTTCAATTTACCTAAGAACATAACACAAGTATACGAGTATTACATATGATGCCTGTAAGAACTGGTGCAATAATAAATAATGTAAAGTCTAGAATCTAATTACATTTTGGTAATTTTATACGTTACGATTTCCATTTCATATGAATTGGCTTTGACCTCAATGTAATTAATTTGTGTGTGTTTACTGTTACTTACAAATCTCTGTTATTTGCGCATTGAGCATTGAGAAAGAACAGAATTGTGTGAAATACAAATAAAATCACTTTTAAAATGAGTGGCTCTCAGTCTCAGTATGACTTTGATGTAGTAGAGTAAAAGCTCTTTGATAAATGTAAAATACAAAACTGCGACTTCGTGTGGTTTCATTCTGATTAAAAAAAAGACACAACTAAATAAAAACAGTATTTATTTATTTGGAAATATATAGAATACAAGTGTCTGTAATTCACAGAAAACAAAGGATAAAAGACAGGAATACATCAAATAAAATATTCAATACCCTCACCTTGTATAAAATTATGCAATGGAAGTTGTGGAAAATGAATAGCACCCATAGCTGCCACTGAATATGTTCTTTTGTGTCTTGATGGGAATCAGGAGTGTACAGTAGCGTACTGTATGGACTGTATATTTATGGAATTCTGATTTCTGACAAATGTCATGTTGTCAAAAAGTGTTCTCTTGCACACTGTCCTTTTGTAATTTAGTCGCCTATACTGAGAGACACAAAGAAATTCAGTGGCAGATATTGTAGAAAACTGACAAATCCTGCTCCATTGACATTTACAGCCAGAACTTTTTGCATTATAACTCAAAAAATGTTTTTGTTTTGTTTTGTTTTCAGCCCACCCCTTCCCTTTCTTATTCCCCCATGTTATCATATTGATTAAGTCCATAGGAGGCCTAGTAATGACTAAATGGTGCAGTCTCCTTCAACTCATGGTACCCCTGGTGGTTTGGCTCTGTAAAGAGACGGAGAGGGCAGTTAGGACTAGGAAGTACCACAACTCTATAACTACCTATCTATCAATGTATCTATTGATGTAAGCATAAGCCAGTGTTTTGAAAAGACTCTTTTAGAAACGTAGGTGCTCTGCTGTGGTTACATACAGGAAGACAAAAACCAGTGCAGTTTAAAACCACACAGAAAAGATATTGTGACTTGGATTCTTTAGTTTCCACTGCTTATCAAACTGCTTCCTTAAAGTCCTGTTGGACATGACCTTCATTTCTATGCAATGAGCACTGTGAAAGCCACCCTACTATATATGTAAAACATTTGTTATTCCCTTTTTAGAACCTGTGTATGTAGGTCACTTAATGATTTTCTGTACATCCCAAATGACGTAGACAAAAATAGCCACTAGCAGAAGGCGTTTGAGTGTGTAGATAAGTGTTACGGTACCGAGACTCATGTTCTCCTCCACCAGAGGCCTCTTCTCATTGCAGTTCACCACTCTTCCCTGTGCTGCTCCCAGAATAGTCATGATGTCCACTAAGTTGAGTTTCCCTTCCTCCCTGGCCTCCCCAACTTCCTCAGCAAGCTCCTTTGCTGCCTCTTCACGCTCCTCTATTTCCTCTTGGGTCAGCATTGCATGTAAACCTTGTTGTGCTGTGGTGTTTCCCACCTGTGGGGGTGCCAGAGAACACAAAGCCCTCACCTGCCCATAGGACTTCAAGTGAGCTATATTGGCACGTAAGAAGAGCAAGAGGACATTGAGGTCGTTCAGTGGGCAACCTAGCCGTCGTCTGTTGATGAGGTCCAGCGCTGGGAGGACCTCATAGATAGAAATGAAGGTGGTATCCCAAACAAAGAGTCGAAGGAGGCTGAAGAGGACGATAGGTGCCAATAGGATGTAGATGGCACCATTAGCAACACTTATCACCTGAAAGACTAACTGGCCAATCATTTTACACTGAACCAATTCAGGGATCCAGTTCTGATCTCGCAGCATCCCTGTGCGTACGAAGCAGCTAAACTCATCTTGCAGGAAGGCAGACAGATGGAAGTAGGCCAGGTACAGGCAGGCAGCAGTCATGAAGATCAGGAGGAGGAAGCCCCGCAAGAAAAGCATGCTAACAAGAAAGTACGAGTTTTGTTTGCACTGCATGTGTCTCTCCAGAAGGGGGTACTCAAAGTACCGCTTCTTTTTTGCCCTGCAATGACACAAGAACAAACTCAGCATTATAACCATAGTCGTACTGCTACAAATACATACAGCTGGGAGCCACCCAACACAACCACAATGTTCTACTTTTGGCTCCTAGGAGTTCCTGACCACAATACCAACAGTACTGAGACTGTTGGTAGCTAAGTGCTTTGCTTAAGGGTATAACAAGGGTAGTTGCTGTGGGAGAGGAAGCGATTGCTCTTAGCTTTCCTAGTTTATCAAGAGACAGAATAGCATCACTTTTGTATCCTCTGAATGATAGATACTTTTTACTGCTGCTGCAATGACCTAGTTTTATCACAGGAGTCCTTGGAGATTTATACAACTAGACATGTGAGTGAATCAATATTCATACGCTGAAGCTACTCAAAACGTATGAACACTTGTGTTTACAAACTAACAATCATAAGTCCCTTACCGCTGCAACTCAGCCTGAAACGTCAGTGGGTTCTTAGTGTTCTGGCGCATATCCAGAATGTTTTGGGCCATTCGCACTGAGCGGTTGTAGGACTTGTCCAGTTCATCAATTATGAAGAGCAGGTCTGATCCCAGTGTGGGCATGACAAGCTGGCGCCAGATTAGAGCTGGGAGGTACATCAGCACGGCCATGGCCAGAAGAGAGTAAGGGAACATCTGGACAGACAATGACAACAGAAATTAGGAATAAATGGAGAAGAAACACCCAATTGTATAGATGAAACAAAAAAACAGCCAGTCTCACTACTCATCTTTTATTAATAAGTCAGTATTACAGATGAAGAAGCATGAATGATTTGTAAAGGGTTTTTAGAAAAAACTAAACTAAATCAATCCTTAACTCAGAAATGTGGTGCACTGACATTTTTGACTGAAATTTTGCAGGGGTTTCAGCGGTTTACCATCCACTCTAGGCAGGAATAACATTCAAGAGTGCTTGATCAGAATCTTTGAACTCACTTTGTGTACCCAGAGGGAGCGCTCCTCGAAGTTCCCATCACTGTCAAACTCATGATGCATGAGAGAGTCCCAGCAGTATGTGTCTACATAGCTGGCCTGCTTCACAGTGAAGTTACTGGGAGGAAAACAGCTGATCTGAGGCCCTGCAGAATATACAAATATTGATCTATAACCTGATGTGAAAATGTGGAAAATTACTTCATGCAACATCAGTTGATTCTGTTTTGTCAATATGCCTGTAAGCCACTGCACAGTAGCAATCTCTCTCTCTCTCTCTCTCACACACACACACACACACACACACACACACACACACACACGCACACACACACCCATCCTAAAAGTCCAATGCTAGACACATGCTGTACATC